TTCAGGCACATTAGCGTTCAGTTATAAATTTCTAAAACCGGCAGTTGTACAGTGCAGAAACATACTACCCGTGCCGCGAGTGTTAAAAAAAAGAGGCATATGCAGGTGAAGGGCCATCCACTTTCCGCCTTCTACGTCAAGGCCTAGAACCTGTTGAATTGCTTTGAAGCAGTGTCTCCTGTTCAAAAAAAAAAAAGCACGTGCTCTCCCTTAACCTGTTCGTAGCATTTTTGGCACTGTTGTGTTGTATCGAAATCCTGGTATTAAGTTTGTTTTTATTTAAACCTTATTTATACTTTAAAGGTAATCTACATTTTTTTTGTTTCCGCTTCAATTCCTTTAAACACTTTGCAAACATGTTCATTTTCAAAAACTCAAACCCTTATGTAATGACCTTGGATTGTCTGAATTGCCGCGAAAGACGGATCGCGCGTGTCGTGCGAGCGCTGGCGCTGGTGCCGGATAACAGAATAAAAATGAAAAAGAGGTTGTGCATGAAAGCTCAGAGATCACGTGAATTTCCTGAGTTTGGAGCTCATTTCTCTTCAAGACCACAACGAATAGTCAGACATAACGGCCGAACGGGGACTCGAGTCTTCAGAAAATTCACGTTAACAATCTATGTGGGGGCGGCACTCACTTCGATTGGGTCTTCACCAACCACTATCACCTGGATGGCCAAAGTTTCAAGGTAACTTTAAGAGGACGGAACCTTCCATCGAAGCCTTTCGAAGGGTCAATGACGACGCCAAATACGCCGCATACAAATTAGTAGTCAGCGACACGGAGATCCTGAAAGGAGAGGTGATACAGTAACGCCTACAGCTAACAGAGATCAAGAATGCGACCTCTGCGCAACGGATCTAGTAACTAAAGAACGTGTCGCGCCCTACAGGCAACAGATAATTCAATCTGTGGACTGCTGGCACCTTTCATGGATCGTCTTGATCAGCTCGAAGCAAAGATGGGGAGCACTTCGTCAGCACAATCGCTATGCAGCGTGATCTCTACCGAGGACGTATCCGAGATCGATACCGCCAAGAAAAAGAGGCCCAAGGCACCCAAGAAAAAGCTCCTGTTCAAGCTGAATCAGCCGTAGACACTGCAGTCGCATCAGACCGGCCGAAAAAGTCGCTGACCAACGTGGCAGTCAGCTCGGTTCCTCAGCTAGGCCAGAACATCATCGCTTGGTTTCACCAGATAAATATCTAGTTCCAGACGTTTAGAGTCGCACCAAGTGAGGCCATCCCATTTACTGTGTCCAAGCTACAATCGAACGCCTTCATGTGGATGAGGTACCGCCTGAAGATAACTAGCGTAACGACGTGGGAGCAAATGAACTTGAAGACCTCTTTCCGTTGTCGTTACAACCCGGACAACGAAGTTGCAGCGAAACAGAAGATGTTCGGCGCAAGACAGCGTTCGGCAAGGTCATGCAAAGACTTCGCTTTCCGCAAACTGGAGCTCATCGACGACTGCAACTACCAGGAGACGAAGGGGGAGAAATACAGGGTTATCCTGGCAATACTCTCTGACAAACCACGAAAGCACTACTTTGACAGACTCGTTGCTTCGTTAGATTAGTTGCTGGACTCATTCCTCCACTTCGACCAAATAGTCGTATGCCAACCGGCTGTGTCTGGCGCAGCTTGAACTGCAGAGTCAGTTCAAGCTGCGCAGGTAACCCAGAAAGCACTCTCCTTCCTGCTCTTAAAGCAGGACCGGTCGCTACCTCGTCAGAACGCGGACGACGCAGTTGTCAGCAGCCTCTTTCTTCACGCGAGAAGCAAAAAAGCAGCACGTGCCGCCTAAACGCCCGTTAGAAGCTTAGCAGGACTTTCGGCGGTCTCCGTTTCGACGCCCTGAAGTTCGTTCGCTGTGCCTGAATTGTACGAAGAGCGGCCACTTCGTCACGTGGTGTCGGCAGGAGCTCATACCGGAAATGTTGGAGTGGCAACGGCCCTTTTGAGTCCGCTGCAGCACCGACGCAAGGAAATGACAAAATTATGCCTCCGACGCCTGCGAGAGGATATCAGTAGTTCGGCGCATCTCATGTGGCTCAGCAGTGGACACAAAAACAATTCACGCTCCACTGAAAGGACAGCTTTTGACAGCTTTCTTGGATTCGGGGGCAATGAAAATTCTCATCAACGTTTCTATCTCCGACCAGTTGCACCTTCTGATTAAAGCTTCTTCTATCCCTTTCTGTCTGCAAGTGGTCAATCCCTCACGAATCTCGGCAATGACGGCCAGACGCTGAACCAGCCATTCATCCTGCTCCCACATCTGGAGGAAGAGAAGTTGCTCCTTGGTGACCGTTTTCTGACAGCGTGCAAGGCCATGACCGATTGGGGTGCAAATAGCCTCTCGATTTCTCCGCCTACGGCATGCCATAAGGTGATCTTGGCTACGGAGAAGCTGGCACGTCCGCGGTCGCGAAAGCTTGTTCAAGCAAGCTTGAAGAATCGTGTCCGAGGACAATCAACAAAACTAGAAGGGAGCCGAACGAAATTGCTCTACAACCTCCGCTGTCTTCTAGATGAACCAATGTTTATGAATAAGACAAAGAGCACATTCTACGTATTCGTGACCAAGCCGTCATCTCGACCAGAGGCTCTATACTGACGCAGTCGCTAGAGGCGTCACAAAGGTTGAAGACGTCGAGCTTGGCGACGACGAAACTGAGTCTATTTTAACTTGCTCAAGCTGCCTTCGCCGGAGGACCTGGTTCGCCCCATTGCTTTCAAATTCAAATTTCAAATTCGTTTATTTTTGCCACAAACGGTACATTTGTGACAGGGGCGCTGGAAAAAAAGCTGCAGGTCTGCAGCTTGACGAGTCCCAGCGCCCCAGAGCAAGGTAAGAGCGGCACCGGCACATACAGACAAAAAGAACGAATATGTGCACACATACATAGGCATACACATATACAGAGGATAAACACGAGAAAAACATAAAGAATTCAACTTCGCAATCAACAGTATACAAAGAAAGTGGTGGTTACTTATTATAAAGCTTCTTGAATGGAACATTGACTAATGGAGTGCATTTCAATATCACGGGAAAACAGTGTGTTTAATAAAAGTGGTAACTGGTGGCGATATCTTTGTAGACCAAAATTTGTCCTTGAAAAGGGAATACGCCAGGGGGGCCCACGTCGTGGTGGATATCCAGACTCGTTTGCTTCTAGATTACCAAGATCTAAAGAAATGACATTATTTTCTCTTACGGATCGTTGATAATTAGCTATCAGTCTATGTGCATACAAATTGGTTATATCAATGACCTTATGTTTTTCAAAAAGAGGAAGGGAATGATAGTCACGCGGAACATTTTCGATTATCCTGAGTGCCTTTTTCTGTAATAGGCGTAATTTGTTAATGTTGCCTTTGTAGTCGAACCCCATACCAGGTGGGAGTAGCAGAGCGCAGGGTAAAACAGAGCATTGTAAATTAGTTTTTTGATATTTACCGGAAGTATGTGCCTGAATTTATTCAGTATTCCGACAACTTTGCATATCTTTTTATGAATATAGGCAACATGATTATTCCAGGACATGTGACAAGAAAATATTACTCCCAACGTCTTTATACTATCGACGCACTCTATCGCACAATCCCCCAGAAACAAATCGCGCGACAAACTAATGCGTGGTCCTGGACACTGAAATAAAACTGCCTTTGTTTTGGATGTGTTAATAACAAGGGAATTCATAACTACCCACGTTTTAATATATTTAAAACATAATTCGCTTTGAAAGTGAGCACCCCTTCCCTAGAACCAGAAAAAGATATGCTGGTATCATCCGCGTATATATTAAATTTAGCAGACGTTTCAATATTTACAGTATCATTAACATATGTGATAAACAATAATGGCCCTAGAATACTTCCCTGAGGGACCCCGGAACTAATGCGTTGCATAGAAGATCTGTTATTATTAATTTGAACGTATTGGGAACGGTACTGTAAATAGGACGAAATGAGTGCTAATGGAACTCCTCGAATACCATAACAATCTAATTTATCAAGAAGAGTTCTGTGATTTATCCGGTCAAATGCTTTACTGAAATCTACAAAGATCCCCAACGTTAAAAGTTTACTCTCGAAATTTTCTAATATTGTCTCTTTTTGTACTAATAAAGCAGTTTCTGTAAACCTACACCTTCTGAAACCGAATTGCGAGTCCGTCAACACAGAATATTTTTCAAAAAAGGTTAATAGTCGAGAATATATTATCTTTGTTATTGGTTTCGAAAATACAGGAAGAATCGATATGGAGCGATAATTACTCATGTCATTTTTATCCCCGCCCTTATAGAGTACAGAAACTTTAGCAACTTGCATGTTTTTAGGAAATACACTAGATGATAATATGAGATTATACAAATGAGTTATGCATGGTAATATCAAATCTAGTACCAATTTAACAGGTTTGATTAAGAGGTCGTCACAATCACGACTACGGCTATTTTTCATATTCATAAACACCGAGGATACTTCTGCAGTATCTGTGGGATTCAAAAACATAGTTTCGCTAGTGCGGGAGACGTTATCTTTGGCATTACTATTGTAAGTGCTATTTCCGACACTCACAAAGTAATCATTGAATTTATCTGCAAGTTCACTACCGCAAATAATTTCATTGTTTATAGTCATGTTAACGATGGCTGTATCTTTAGATTGGCTACGCAGAAGAGAATGCAGTTGCTTCCAGACTATATCGGGCTGCCTTAAACAGGATGAGTCGAATTTAGCCGCGTAATAAGGCTGTTTAGCTTGTCTTAATTGAGCGTTAACAAAATTCCTGAACTTTTTGAATTCGCGTAATTTTTCTTCGTCTCGTGTTTTCACAAAAGAGTCATAAAGTATGTTTTTCTTTCTAATGAGTTTCAAAAGGTGACCATTTACCCACGGCTTCCTAGCTTTCTTGTTTCGACGGATGCATTTGATTGGAAATGAAGTGGAATAAGCATTTTTGAAAGTACTTATAAAAAAATCTTAGCACCCATCAGCATCTGTAGAATTAAACATGAGACTCCAGTCTATAGTGCTGATTGTTTTTCTAAATTCTTCCAGTGTCCTAGAACTTATGTCTTGAGACATTGTTGAAAAGTTTGAAACTGCGCTATCTGACATACTCTTATTGATAAACATGATTATTGGAAGGTGATCGCCGATCCCACTACTAAGCACACCAGCACTAATATTATTTTCATCATGATTAGTTAGAAATAGATCAAGCAATGTCGATGTGGTGCATGTGACGCGTGTTGGAGGGATAATTACATTGGAAAAATTGTTTGAAGTCAATAAACCAAGAAAATCATCTTTAAGATGAGAATGTTCAAGCATATTTATATTAAAATCACCACCCAGAAACAAGAGGCACCTCTCTTGATTAGCAAAACAAAACAACGCTTCTAAAAATTGCATGAAACTCAAAACATTACCATTTGGAGGATGATATAGAACAGAGTAAATGTGATTTCCTTTTTTAACACAAAGTATTTCATAATCTCGGGTCACAATAGAATAATCACTGAGTATTTCAAAACCAGAGGCACGAGTTTGTAATGAAACGCCACCACCGCGACTATGACTGCGGTTTAAAAAGAAATGAGTGTAGCCTGGAAGAACAGAAAAATTATCATCATCCCTATACCACGTTTCAATCATCATGACAACATCAAAAGAAGTTTGGATTGAGTCAAAAAAACAATGAAAGATCATCCTCTTTTAATCTGGCGGATTGCACATTTAAATGAAATAAACTCAACGATCTAGTTGTCTGTTTTTGTAGGAAGATATTTAGACACTCTACCGTCAGAACACCTAAATTTTTCACCATGGTAGTAAAAAGGGAAAAATAGAAAGAGACACGTCAGCTGTATTTAGCGGATCTTATCAAGATCTCCAGAGTCAGAAATAGTAATGACAGGGGTCCCATCCGCCGTCCTTACAAATATTTTAGAGTTACGTACCCAAACGTATCGCCACTGGTGCTCACGCTTCTTTGAGACCGCCATTCCTAGCAACTTTTTCAGGGCGGGGCACAAGTGTTCATTTACATTGATAGGCGATGTTTCAGGCAGTCCGAAGTCTTGGCAAGTAATTCTTTTTTTCTTTGCCTTGTCGAGAACAGAGTCTCGTTTTTGTCGCCGCTGAAATTGCACTATCACGTTGCTCCTTGTCGGATCTCTCGTGGGAACACGATGACATGCTTCTATATCAGAAAGGGCGATCTGCTCTCCGATGAGGTCACCAAGTTTAAATACCAGATCATTAACGTTATCAGTTTCGGTTTTAGGTATTCCTTTTACCTCGATGTTGTGGCGTCGCGAATACTGCTCGCACTGAACAAGTCTGAGTTCATTTTCTTTCAGTAGTCCGGCCGTCATGACACATTTTTGCGTGAGTTCAGCATTTTCTTTTTTGAGAATGGCGTTCTCACTTATGACAGACTAGAGCTTCAGCTTAATTGCCTCGAACTCCTTGTTCACGAAATTCATCCCATCGCTTATGCTTTTCAGCTCAGTGTTTATCTCACGGAGATCAGTTCTGAAATCCCTCTCTAGTGCATCTTTCATAGATCTAAATTGTTTCTTTAGCTCATATTTTAGTTCATTTACCAACTTAGTCATATCCTTAGACATTTAAAAAAAAGTAAAAAACATACACTAGAAACACAATTGAGAACACGGAAAGGTAGCAGCAGCAGCAGCAGTTATACACACAAATGAGATAAAGATACGGTACCCAACCTGCGGTAAATACAGGAGACAATTAGGTGATGCGTTGTGCCGCTGCCGCTGCTGCCAAGTGAAGCGCCGTTGCTTGAGTTCTGAGCTTTTGTAGTCCTCCTCTGGAGACGTGGAATGTCGATGAACCAATCGGACAGGTAGTCGTCAGCTGTGACGCCGCGACTGATACGGGGGCGTGCGAAGGCTTCTATCTTGCTTGTGCCGGCAACGATGTGTCAGCGAAAATGCAGATGAATTCGGCAGTTACTTCGGTTTTTTTTGCTCGCCGGGCACTGTCCTGCGGTAAATACAGGAGACAATTAGGTGATGCGTTGTGCCGCTGCCGCTGCTGCCAAGTCGCTGGCCCTGAAGACCACCCACTATCGGTTGAGGGTGCCACGTTTAACATTCTTTCAACGCTAACACCTGAAAAGCTTCAATATACTCAAAATCTTCTTGAGAAAAACCTGGCTTGCTTCGCGTAAACAAGCACTGACGTTGAAAATTGTCGGCTTGAGCAGGACTCCATTCCGACAGGTAATGCGAGACCTGTCTCCCAGAGGCCACGTCGACTGTCGCCGGTACAGCGTGATCTCGTCAGGGCGATAATCAAAGACCCAATCGATGCCAAAGCTGTGCAACCATCGCGCAGCTTGTGGGTATCCCCCTTGGTCTTAGTAACAAAAAAGGACGGATCAACACGATTGTACGTCGACTACGGAAGAATCAAAGCGGTCACTGAAGACACTGTCTACCCCTTTCCGCGAATTGAAGACGCCTTGCAAAGTCTGACGGAGAGCAAGATTTTCTCTGTCATTGACCTGGTTTCCGGGTTTTTAAAAATTTCCATGCGGCCATACAATGTCGAAAAAACGGTCTTTGTTACTTTGTGGGGCCTGTATAAGTACTTCCGAATGCCGTTGGTACTCAAGGGTGCTCCGTTTTCCTGTCAGCGTGTGGTACACGCTATCATTGAGAATGCCAAGTACGACAACGCACTTGTCTACTTGGACGATTGTGTTGTATACAGCAAAACATTGTGCGAGCATGTCATGCACCTGCAAACCATTTGTTTGAGGTTCCACGAAGCGAACCTGAAGTTCAAGCCAAAGAAGTTTTTTTTTTTGTTCATCAGTCATCTACCTTTGACACATTGTCAAGAAGCATGAAGTTTTACGAAACCCTTCCAAGTGTGCAGCTGTCCATTGGTTTCCGGCTCCCCACAACATCCAAGTACTTCAATCCTCTGTGGGCGTAACATCTTACTTTCGGAAGATTATCCCGAACTTCAGTTTTCTTGCTGCTCCTCTGCGCAAACTTCTCAAGAAAGAAACAGACTTCATTAATGAAGAACAAGATGCAGCGTTTGGGGTCCTAAAGGAACCACCTCTTCTTAAGCTTTTCTCGGAAGACGTACGCTTTGGCGTCCAAGTTCACACCGACACTTCCAAGCTTGGGCTAGAAGCATTGCTATTTCAAGAGAACCAAGATGGATACTTCAGACCTGTAGTGTACATGGGTCGCTCCCTCAAAGGTTCCGAGTCCCAACTCATAGAAAGAGATGAAAGCTTTTGCCGGCAAGTCGGCTCTGGATGAGCTTCGCCCGTACCTCACGGGTCGTAAGTTTCAAGTTGTTAGTGGCCACCATCCTCTTTGCTGGGAGATGCGGTACAAGGAAAGGAACCAATGCTTGCTGCGCTGGTCGCTCCTCCTGCAGGAGTGCGAGGCCATCCATAATCCGCACCGGTAACGAGCGGATTATGCAGCCAGGTGGCGAACTCCTCTCATCCCTGGCGGCCATATGTGTCCTGGATCGATTTTTCGCCAGTGAAAAGTGGACATCTGCACCCGGCTGAAAAATCAGCTTGCCACCAACACGGGTACGCCCGCGAATCCGCAAGTGTAAACGAATCCTTAGTGCAGTGTTGACGACAAATATTGGAGAGCTAGCTACTGGAATAATTGAAAATATAACAGTATTCTAATAAATTAACTTAAATCTCGCGTGTAAGCAACGTGGTGTGCCAATATTCTTATGCAAAAAGCGAGCCTGCACATGCCAGTGAAATGCTGCCAACAAATATAATCCTACATAGAAGACAGATCAAATCTTTATAAATATTACAAATGATTATGTCTAAAATAAGGCAGACCAACAAAGCTTATGACTAAGCGGTCGACGTAGAAACATGGTAGTATGTATCTGAAAGACGCAAGAGAGAACTATTATGTCAAAAAACAGGCATGAGGGAAGAAGTTGTTTTATAAATAAGAATTTCAATGCGTCATAAACATTACGAGCAACGGATATGTTCGTGTTTGTGTTTGTTCTTTTTTTTTACTAGAGAAACCAGCGACTTAAATTTTACGAACAAAACACATTGATAGACATGCAATCGCACTAAAATATGCTTTAGACGTCTCATATTTTGAGTCAAACGTTTATGTTTCCGGTGTGCTGGCATCGGAAAGGAAAGGTTATTAAAATCTACAAAAAAAACAACGTTGCTCTAGTTCTTGAAAACTAAAAGTGATGCACAGCTACCCAAAGCTCTATAACGAAACACATATATTTTAGTAAGCCATATTGTGCGCCCTTAGAGGTGTTGCCAAACGCAACAAGCTGCATGAACAAACAAAATACTTTGTGGTGCGCGCTTCCTCCTTCAGCCATTGCAGCATTATTACTGCTGCTTAATTCAGATGCCATATCTGTTAAAGAAGCTGGCAGCTTCACAACCTCTCTTGGCAATGGAAGTCTTTGAAACAAACTTTTTTATATTCATTCAACTTTTTCCTTGCTTTTTTATGTACAGCACTACAATTAAAAGACGGTATTAAAGAAGTATAAACTCTAGTTTGTAACTTGCAACAAGAAAAATAAAAGGAAAACTCGTAACATACGCTTTCGCCCACCAAACTGGTTTAATATTAAGCTAGTTTTTACTGGTTTAGTTTCTTCCTCGCCTAATGTATTTACAGACTATTAAAGAACTATGTCCGCCTCTGTTTTGTGTTACACTCTTCGGCGTCTGCTGCGTTGTGGAAGATTTGGTGCTCTTAAATGTATTTTGACGTATATTAATTGGAAAAAAATAATTTGAAGAGTATGTTTACCAGAGTGGGCTTAAAGTATATTGTTTTAAAATATTTCATTTCGGGTTATAATCAGTAATGATAACACAATGATTCAGTTAGTTCCTTAGAATTTCCACCTCCTGAAATAAAATCATTGAACATGGTTGTGAACTAACTTTTACTGGCACGTCATGAGCGCTTCTGTCGTTATCACGTGCCATACCTATATCTGCAAATAAATTGCATATATATATATATAATTCCATATATCTGAAAATAAATTGCACCAATATATTCACCTGCGGCCAAGAAAAGTTTCCAAATGTAATTTTAGAATGCTGGAAGGGCTGTGTTTTTTTATTTTTCAATCTTGTTTTTTCTTCAGTTTCGCTCCCTCTCGTTTTTCATAAGTTTTATTGTCACGTACAAACCAGGAATTTGCAAACATCGCGGAATTCTCACACAAATGTCTCAAAGAAGAAAAAAGCAAAATTATTAAGAATGTTTAGCATTTGTGTAAATTTTACCATACCACCCGCATGTAAACGAAGGGCACAGACTCTGGGTGGACAGTGAAGTTGATATGCTTACCCGCAAAACGTTTGTGCAATCAGCTACCTAAAATGATATGTTTGTTTCAAACAAATTAGTGGCCCATGGAACTACCTCACATCTCTTGAGAATGTCTTATAATCCTGCTTGCTTTTCACCACTCATCTCAATGTTATGTAATATATCCGGCTTTAGTCATTTATTGAATGAATTTGCAAAGAAACGTGGGTTGCGCCGAGCTTCTTTTGCGTGATAGTGCACGAAAGCAAGTACCCTAAAGACCACACGTTGACATACTCCAATAAATATTGAGAA